CGACCCTTGCGCCGAAGGAGCATTTCTGGGGAGATGCTCCCGGCTTTCTCCGCGCTGCAAAGAAGCGCAGCCATTGTCGAGGAGGAGGAGGAGGAGGAGGAAGCGGAGACAGAGAGAGAGTCAGGGAGGAGAAGCGTGCCTGAGAAATTGCTTTCTATGAAATTCTGGAGCTGCTTCCCAGCAAAACTCTCTCCAGGATCGGAGAAAAGAGCGGCGACCACAATTATATCTTCATCATTCAATGTAGGCATTATAGACAGAAAATAATATATTTATATGATCTATATCTATATTATACAGATATAGACGTATTGTTAGGAAGCCCCCCAATCCTCTTTAGTGATCGCGCGATTAGTGTTATCACCAGTGTTAGTGTTGTCACCAATAAATTCCCCGAACCATTTGTTTCCGGAGTGTGTGTATATATATCTCTCTCACACACACACCACGAATTATTGGTGATGGCACTAATCGCGTGATCACTCAAGGGGGCTCAGCAGCGACGGCGGCAGAAGGCGAAGCCACACTCAGGCTGCCTTGATCGCGACGGGGGCAATGGCCGGCTCACCGAGCGGGTAAGGGAGTCGAGGGTGGCCTTTTCTCTCCCTCTCTCTCCCTCCGCTCTTCCCACCCCTCCCAGTCCGTTCCCTGCTAGGGAGAGAGCTGGGAAACGGACGCGCCTCGCAGTTGCACCCGGGTTCGAGGGCCGCGGCGGACGCGCGCGCGTGTCACACGGGCTGCCAATCCCTCTCTCTCCCTCCGGGGCGCTCCGCTCTTCCCGCCCCTCCCAGTCCGTTCCCTGCCAGAGAGAGAGAGCCTCGCAGTTGCACCCGGGTTCGAGGGCCGCGGCGGACGCGCGCGCGTGTCACACGGGCTGCCGCCGCCGCCGCCAGGCAGGGGAAGCGCGGCGCTCGTTGGACGCCTTCCAGTTCCGCTGGCTTGTTTTCCTTGCCTGCTCCAGGTTTTACTTCTGGTTGCTGCCTAGGAAGGCTTTTGCTCCTCCCTTTTGAAATCCTATATTAGCTGCGGCCAAAGCAGGCGAAGAAACACAGCTCATTGTTGGCAAGGGCTGATGAGAAACTCACACGGGAGGGGAAGCCGCGGCTTTGGGTCTGCTTGCACAGCAGCCGCGGTTTTTATTATTGTTATTGCTCGCCTTATTAATAATAGTAGCAGGAGGAGGAACAGGAGAAGCGCTTGCTCTATGCTGGGAGATCTTTACTGATTTTGTTCCCCCCTACACGTTTGGAGCGAGAGAAGAAAGAGAGGGCGTGAGGTGAGTGCCTGACGGAACAGGGGGATTTGGGGAGTGCGTTTGTCTCTGTGTGTGTGTGTGTGTGTGTGTGCACGCGCGCGCCGCTTCCTGCAATCATATCAGTGAACATGTTTGAGAGGCGGGGGGTGGGAATTAGGGGTTTCCAGCCGGACCCCTTAATCCACTTACATTATATCGCAAACAGTCCGTGCAGACTTTAATTCCCCAAAGTTGTTGACAAGGAGAGCGAGAAGGTCGGGGCAGTTGTGCTCCCATCTGGAATTCTTACGTAAGGGTATTTTTTGGGTGCTAGGGCTTCTTTCATTTTGAATGTTTATTGTGGTTTTTTTTTAAATGTGGATCCTTTGAAAACTCAGAGAGGAAGGCAAGAAATTTGAGGCAAAGTGGAGGGAGGCTTGCCGGGGGTGTGTGTGTGCACGGTCATTTAGTTACTAGGTGTGTGCATGAGTTGCGGCTGGCGGTTTCCTCTGCTTTTTGCACAGGCACACGCACGAGCTGCCTGCTTTCCCACGGCTAAGAGACCTCAGGCGATCACCCACCCACCGACCCCCCCCCCAGCCCGGCTGAAATGTGGGAGAGGTTTTCCGCGGGGCGCCGAGAAAGTGGGGGGGGGAGGTATGGGACGGGGGACCCAGCCGGCTTGCCCCTTGAGCAAAGGTGAGGGCGTCTCGGTGGCCGAATGGCGGCAAAACGTTGATCTCTCTTCTTTTTGTCCCCCCCATCTCCCACCCCCTTAACTTCGGAAGGGCCGGCCATGGCAGACCACATGATGGCCATGAACCACGGGCGCTTCCCCGACGGCACCAGCGGGCTGCATCACCACCCGGCGCACCGGATGGGCATGGGGCAGTTCCCTCCCCACCACCATCAGCAGCAGCAGCCGCCGCACGCCTTCAGCGCCTTGATGGGCGACCATCTCCATTACGGGGGCGGCAACCTGAACGCGAACAGTGGGATCCGGCACGCCATGGGGGGCCCCGGGAGCGTGAACGGGGGCCACCCCGCCAGCAGCTTGCCTCCGACGGCGCGGTTTACCAATTCCCAGTTCATGGCTCCCACGGTGGCCGGCCAAGGAGGGCCCTTGACGGCCAGCATGCAGTTGCAAAAGCTGAACAACCAGTACTTCAGCCACCACCCCTACCCGCACAGCCACTACATGCCGGACTTGCACCCTGCCGGCCACCAGCTCAATGGATCCGCCCAGCATTTTAGGGACTGCAACCCCAAGCACAACGGCGGCGGCGGCGGCAGCAGCAGCAACAACAGCGGCGGCGGCAACAACGGCGGCGGCGGCGTGGCTACCTCGGTGCCCCACGTTGTCCCTGCGGCAATGCTGCCTCCCAATGTCATAGACACGGACTTCATCGACGAGGAGGTCCTTATGTCCTTAGTCATCGAAATGGGCTTGGATCGCATCAAGGAGCTGCCGGAGCTCTGGTTGGGACAGAACGAGTTCGATTTCATGACGGACTTTGTTTGCAAACAGCAGTCCAGCAGAGTGACCTGCTGACTCCTCACAAAAACAGGGAAACATCGCCACCCCACCACAAAAAAAGGAAAAAAAAAACACGACTTTTTTAATCTGTATGAATGGAAACATTCCCTCTCTTAGACGCAGTATTTCAAAGGCTGTTAGGGGCTTGAGTATCTGGGAAGCAGAGCAAACTATAAGCTTATATAGTTTGTTTTCTGTTTATTTCTTCTTCTTTTTTAATTTGCTGCCACGTCTTTAATTCCCCTCTCCCCCCCCCCCCAAGCTGGGACACTCATTTCTGCCCTTCCCTGGACTAATTCTAAGCTTTAGTCTTTCGAATTTATCTGGATCACACACACACACAAACACCCAGAAAAAAAAAAACCATTCTCTTGCCTGCTTACTTTCTTCACTGGTTACATACCAAGGCTGCCAATTGTTACATACAACTAGTGGCGAAATGCTTATATCTTGTGGATTTTCTGTAGGGTATCATTTCAGATGATTAGATCTGCATTCCAATTCTGAGTTAAAGGACAATCAGAAGAAAAAGATGTTGCATTACAGTTGGGTTGCATGAACTTCAGGGTAAAATTCCTGCACAAATACTGCCCTCTTGCTTTGTTTTTAACTATGCATTGCAGTGATGCTCTTTTTTTTTAAGGTTGCTGAACTGGAAGCTGAACAAATGTGGGCCAAACTGTCCCTGGATCAGGAAAAAAATAATAATAGTTACTTAAACTCTGCTGTCTCTTCCTTTTTCCTCCCTCCCTTCTCCCATCTGTACAAACAATAATATAGTGTGAATGGAATGGTCTCTATTGTTGGGAAAACATTTCACTGGTTCTTACTTTATTTTAGTTCTGGTTTTGGCTTCAGTATATTTTAATTCTGGCATTGTGCTAACATAATTTGTTCCATACAGGAAGAAACTACTGTTTTGAAAGCTTTTTAGGAAATTTGACAGTATTTTTGTACAAAAGCTTTTTTTCTTTTTTTTCTTTTTTGAGAATATACTTGTTAATTTATTCTATTTTTATTTGCCAATGTCAATAAAAAGAAGTTAAGAAATGCTTTAATTTTTTTTCCTAGTTATAAATTACCAGGATTTTTTTTCCTTGAAAAGTTCTCTTCTTACCTCACCCTCATCCCACATGAAACATTTGATACACAAAGCCCATTTAACTTGTTGAGCTGTTGGGTTGTGTGATACTTTATGAAGGAAAATCGACTTGACACCATTGTATGTTATATGTCATGATCAGTGCAGAAGGTAAAAAGGATTTAAGCCTAATTATGACATCACAGTCTCATAAGTAACATTGTAACATGCCTGTGTGAATTTATCAAAAGTGAAAGAAAAAGCCGAGAGGCAACATCATTGTGATCTGCCAATTTGCTTTACATGTAGTTGTCCAGAATTATGATGCATAAAGTATTTATTCTATTTATCTATTAAACTTTAATTTTATAAATACTTTCATTTATCTATCTATGAGACTTGGTTCCTTCTGTAAATTGATCTTCTGTCAGAGAGAAGAGTTCTGTAAAATACAGAAGTACTGCAAATTTTGTTCCATAATTAGTTTCTTGTATCAGGCGTAATCATGATCTTAGCAAATTCTAAAAACTTCACATGAAATCCATGAAATATTAGTTAGGGAAGGATGGGGCTAAAAGACCAAACTCTGGTATTAATGGAAAATATTTTGTTTGGCAAAGCTGAACAGATTTTATTATAGCCTAGTATATAAGTACTGGCACTGAAAATGAGTAACTTCCACATTTTGGCAAGAGGCAGCAGAAAAATATTTACATAATAGTGGGAGTGTGTTTTATTTGATCTTGGCATTATTGTGGGAAAAGTAGTCACATAAATACTTATACAAGTAAAGCTCAGGTATTTAACCGTACATACGATGTGTTTAACAAAGTTGCAGCAACCAAGTAGTGAACTGATGTCTTGCTCCCCCATTTGTGTGTTACATATCTTTATAGGCTGAAAAAAAACTCTTTATGATTCAAACTTACATTGGAGGAAACATAATGGGAATACAAGAACTGTATGTGTCAAACCTGACTGTGGCATTTATGTCCAGTGGAAGAATTAGTTTTTGATCCTGGGAAAAGTTGAACTTCTAATGCTTCCCTTTTGACCCATGCTCACTAGTACTGTCTGTAGTAGAAACACCGGGCTTGGATAGGGTCTTTTGTCTTAATCCCCACCCCTTAATTCATGGGTTGTATATATTATCCAGAACTGTGGGGGTCTCGGGACATACTTCTCCGTCCAGTGCTATCAGTGCAATAGATTGCTGAGGAAGGGAGAGGAAGATGGAGGATCAGTTCAGTGGATGGAGAGAACTGGATAGTTCCTCAGTCTGAGCATAATTGGAAACATTCCATATAGTTCCTAAGTGTGTATAAACAAACTAGGAGGAACATGGGGGTGACAAAGGCAATCAAGAGCAAAGACTTCGACATAAGCAAGTCACCAGCATTTGGGTTGCAAATACTCAACTTCAAACTGATTGCATAGGCTTGTAATATCCTCATTATTACATTAGAAATTTTGCCAGCACTAAAGAAAGCCACTCTTTGGACTGTAATCCCCCAAATCTTGTTTAGGGATTTTGGAGGTTGTTGCATAAAAAAATAACTTTTCCAGTGTCTGATTTGAGTGTTCCTATTAATCATCTTTAGCGTTTGCAGGAATAGAAATGCAGGTGCCCTGGAACCTTGCACCAGGTTATTTTAAGACTGTTTCAGTAATCTGCATCTTTAGTTTAGACTTGCTAGAGGTCAACTTTTGACCTAGATGGTTTGAGATATTTGACCTGGAAAGTTTGTGTACCCACTGATGTCTGGCAGGCTGCAGTTCTGTATATAGACACAGGATTTATTATTCTACTTTTTCCTTCAACACTTGTGAAAAATCATTTCCTTAATTGGATAGAATTTAAATATTCTGCATAGACTACCATAATCTGCTTTTATGGGAGGAGATGATGGACTATTGATCCCAGGTTGTCGCAAGACACCATGCCAGGCCTTCACTCCTGCTGCAGTAAATCCTTTCCTTTTAGGCATCCTATAAATAGGTCCTTTTGGGCCATGCACAAAAAAGTTCCTGTTTACATACAGCAAAGCTGCATAAGGAGTGGCAGTCTGTAGCTGGTGATATCAAGCTCCCAGATATGCTGCTGTCAAGTAGAATTAAAAACAACCACCCAGTTTAGAGTTTTATTAAACTTCTTTAAAAGGACAGCTAGTTCACCCAATATGTGGCATATTGAGAATGAGTGTACATTGACTCTACCTCCTTATGAAATCTTGGCTCTGGGAAGGTATGTGTCTGTCTCATTCACACATTACATTGCAATGCAAACCTGTTGACTTTGCATGCAGTTCAAGCCCCATTAAGTTCAATGGAGCATTCTTCATATGAGTGTGTGTAGGATTGAAACCTTAAAAGGCCTTACAGTATTTAGCAATTCTTAAATTCTAACAAATAATAGTATTCTATGTTATTCCAATTTATGAAAGACCTTTCCAGGTTTTTTAAGGTACAGAGTACTCAGAAGTGGTTTACCAATGTTCTAGGGTGAATTAAACTATGCTGAGGGCAAGGTTATCTCAGTGTCTGTTCTGAAGCAGACTTCTATAAGTTCATAACACAGTTCTATGATTCTATTAGTCAACTGAAAAGCAATTCCTGTGGCCCTTTTCCTTAGCCATCTGGACTGAAGTTGAGGGGAAACTGTTAAAAGCATGAAGGCTCATCTTTTTGTGGGAGGAGATCAGGCTGAAACAGCAACAGCGCCCCAAACGTTGTTTGTTCCCCACCCCCCAAAAATGCTAAAAGACTTGTTTACATTTGGCCAAAGTATTTAATGATCATATGTGCAGTGACCTACTTTACTAGCCATGGCCAGATTATTTTGCAAACGAGGCTCAGGTGGTGGCGGCTGTAGCGGGTATTGTGTTCCTGTTTTAAGTTGCTTATAGCACAAGAAACTTGACCTCTGTACTTTGGCTCTTTTTCAAAAAGTTCTAATATGGTACATGAGCTCTCCCGTTCTTTAAGCCACAGCCATAAATAGAGACAGTGCTTTATTTGCAATGGAGATCAGCGATAAGCCTGCCCTGCGCAAAGAAGCAGCACAAAAGACACTTGTTAGGAAAAGAGGTGATAATTAATAAACCAACGTCACTCTCTTGTGGCTAGAGGTGGGAAAGTACCGGTGACAGCCACTCTTGCTGGGACTGGGGGAAAAAAGCCCGTACGCTGGAGCCAAAGAGCTCCTCATAGTACCTCTTCATGAGGTAGGTGCTCAAAGACGTTGACATCCATGGTGCAGTTTATCATCTGAATGACTTTTACAACTGCAAAAGCCTTCGCTTGGCCATAAATTGATGTCAATGGTAAAGGCCAGCTCCTTACCCACACAATATTAATCCCCTAATCTGTTATGGTTGGTCAGCTTTGAAATGTAAACAGACGTCTTCCTTTGCTGTTGGTGCCACCTTGTGGAATGGAGATCAAAAGGCAAACACTTTCAAGTTCCCTTCCCCGCCCCTCACAACACACAATAGCTTTGGCTGGAAAAAAGGAGCCATGCAGAGACACAAAGCAAATATGTAATTGAGCTACAGTAATTTTGGAGTCATTCTGGGAAAGGATGAAAAATATAATTGGACCTAATGCAACATTTTGTTTAATTCATTATTTACAGCCCTTGCTACATGTTTTAAATTGCATGCTTAATGCTTACTCAGAATAGATTCCACTAATCCTAACACTAAGCAGAACTTGGACCATGAGTCTCAGAACTGGTCACCCTGCTCACAAGCCGGATGGCTATTGGCCATGCCAACTAGTATGGGGTCAAGAATAGTAGTCCAGAATGTAAGATTTCCCAGCCCTTAGGTCATGCGCAGAATTCCAGCTTTAAAAGCTTCTGAGACAATTTCCATTACAAAACAGCAACAATGAAAACGTTTACAGCATATCAACTTTATATACATTTCAAAATGACAAAGCTTCTACTAATCCTCCACAATTAGGTGTTGTCTCTTGTAGTACTGTATATATTACCTTTATTGCAAAATTAGATATCTTATATGTCCAGCTCTGATAGTAAATGTCAAATGAAATGCAGCTGAGAGAATGCATAATTACTGTATTAGCAAACTATGTTTTTTAATCAAATGTTTTGTGTATTTTTAAAAAGAAATTAACAAAATCTCCCTCCCTTTATAAGCACATCTGAATTCCTATTTTAACCACTGAGAGCCACCGTTTTCATGTCATATATTCTCACATTCTCAGAAATACAACTTTTCGTGTACTCTTTAGTATCTTTCATATTATTTGAAAACCTAAACTATGGCTGGGTTTTAAGGGTTAAAATAAATCACCAGAGAGACTGGGGTGAAATTGAACCATGTCTTTAAGGTGTTAACCACAACAGAACCCTCCAAGCAGTCCTGATTTGGGGAATGAGGGGTAGGAAGCGTGCTGCAGTGAAGTCATGCCAGGTGAAGAAGGGTTATGGTTAAGAAGAACAATCCATTGTTCTGGGTTTTTCTTTCATCAGAAGGTCTCTCAGAGTGACTGGTCTTGCCTGATGGGTAGAGCAGTTCAGGGACTTACCTGTTTCAACAGACTGGAGGAGACGGCCTTCTTACGATTTAAGTATATGTTGCTTGCTTTGGTGGCTTCATTTTCCCTGTACAACAGACTGTCTGCACTGAGTAAGAGCATATGGTGCTGAGATTCCAAAGAGAGTCAGGATACTACTAGAACCATCTGCCTCATGGATGACACCTCATCTGTATAATAGACATACTCTTGAGGTGGTGGTTGAGATTATGATCCCGCCATCCAAGTCAAGGGACTTCTGTTGGGAACAGCACAGGGTTTTGTGGCATGACCTCCAATGCAAACCAAATATTTGATCCAATAAATATAAAAGATCACACACTTGATCTGGTATTGCATTTAGCAAATCACAGACCCTGTCTCAACAGGAGAATATTCAGATTGCTCATTTCTCATAGTCCATGGCCCTCTGGGCAGAGTCCACTCATGACTTATTGTTGTTTAGTTGTTAAGTCATGTCCGACTCTTCGTGACCCCATGGACCAGAGCACGCCAGGCCCTCCTGTCTTCCACTGCCTCCCGGAGTGTGGTCACATTCATGTTGATAGCTTCGATGACAATGTCCAACCATCTCATCCTCTGTCATCCTCTTCTCCTCTTGCCTTCAC